GCACCAGCCTTGATCTTAGAAGCTAAGTAGTGCCCAGTCCCTGCATTTGAGCCTCAGGGCTGCCCTCCCCCCACAAAAAAATAAACCACCACAAATGATGTGTATAATCAGGCCAAACAGGCCCGATCTGTGGCACTGGAACTAAATAAACTCCTCAAAGGCTGTGAAAACAGCAAGGCGGTTTTTACAGGGACAGTCACAGGCAAAGTGCACCTTAGGCAGGCACAAGGAAACTATTTACAGCCTGAGAAGGTCCCTAGGGGCCCTTCTAGAAACCTGACCACTCTGTTTATGACGAACCAGGCAGCCAAGGAGAAGCTGTCTGGACTCTGGCTAGTGACAGCAGCTTAAGTGAAAGGGAACACCCATCCCTGGGGACCCTGGGTGGGTTAGGTGGAAGGGTATGGGGACACACACAATTCATACACCGCTAGCAAATCTAGCATACAACCTTCGCTCCACCATACCATCTCTGTTGGGAGAGGAAAGGCTCAGACTCCAGCAAAGACGAGGCAAGTTTAAATTCGACGCAGCTGTGGCCAGAAGGGGCTGATGGGGGTGACAGATGGCTTTTGTGGTCATTCCGGGGATGGTGGTCATTTGGGGTGTTGTTCTGCAGGCTGTTTCTGAGCCCTGAGGGGCTTGGTTCTCTGGCTTCAAAATAGGGTGCTTTTAACAGCAGTCAGGCTCCACAGACACCAGTGAGTGATCTCATGATGGTCCAGTCCTGACTGTGTCTGGTTTTCCTCCACAGAAATGTGCTGCTGAAGAGATGTTCATAAACGGGATCAGATGGGAAAGGCCCTGGCAGGAGACCAGAGCACGCTGGTGGAGGACTCACAGCAAAGCCCTCCATGGCGGGGAGATGCATTCTTCTCCTTTCGGATCTCTTTTCTGATTGAATTTTCACAAGTGCATGTTTTGTAAGCAGTCAAATGTATGCTACATAAACAAAGGGCATCGGAGCACACATCCACACATCGGCACCTGGCTACTCTCCTTTGGTAAGTAGCCAGCCCTTGGTTGATAGGACTGCACCTTGTAAGTCTGTATTTGTCCAGGGGATGGGGGGGGCATCAAAAAATGTCTCTGTGAGCTGGGCACTGGTGGCTCACACCTGTAATCCTAGCTACTCAGAAGGCTGAGATCTGAGGATCACAGTTCAAAGCCAGTCCAGGCAGGAAAGTCCATGAGACTCTTATCTCCAATAAACCACCAGAAAACTAAAAGTGGCACTTGTGGCTCAAGTGGTAGAGTGCTTGCCTTGAGCTGAAGAGCTGAGGAACAGCAGAGTTCAGGCCCAGAGTTCAAGCCCCACAACCGACAAAAAAAATGTTTCTGCAGGCCTCTCCCGCTGCTTATAGGGGCTTGTTAATAAGTTCTTCATTTCTTTGTCTTGAAGGACTTCAAATGTTTGCCAGGCATGAGTGGCTCACGCCTGTAATCCTAGCAACTGAGGAGACTGAGATCTGAGATTGAGGTTCAAAACCAGCCCAGGCAGAAAAATCTGTGAGACTCTTTATCTCCAATTAACTCCTAAAAGCTGGAAATGGAGCTGGGGGCTCAAGTGGTAGAGTTCCAGCCTTGAGCAAAATAAGGAGCAAAGATCAGGCTGAGTTCAAACTCCAGTACTGGAACCAAAACCAGACTTTGCGTGTCAATACTTTTGCATTTCAGGTTTTCCAAAGGAGAGATGTGCCTGCCTTCAACTCTATTTGTTAGAAATGGTGAACAGGACACCAAAACCTGAGAGGGAGAAGTGGATGAACAGGAAACTGGGAACGGGTAAGGTAGGAGCTAGCAACAATGGTCTCATGGTAGAAGAGTCAAGGCTTTGTCCTTAACCCCCAGATGCTCTGGGGCAGGTAGGTTCATGTGAGAAGAAAGACTTGACAGAACTTGTAATGATCAGCCCAGTCAAATGATCCATTTCCTATTCCACAGAATCTGGAGGAAATGCCCTCTAAGGGCTGAATTCATTTTGAAAGAGGCTATCCTGGTACAGAAGAAGGCCCATACCTGCGTGACTGGCCTTGTCTACTTGCTCTATGGTTGGAAAAGGCGAGGGAAGTCCCTGATGTTCTCAAGGAAGGCTCAGACCTTCCTCCCGGTGAGGGAGAAGGGACTAGAACTTGCTAAGGAGAAGCAGCCTATCAAGGAAGAGATCCCAGAAGTCTTCAAGGTGGGTGACATGGCTTAATGTGGAGAATAAAACTCCCCTAGCCTGGCTGCCTGGGTTCAGATCTCCTCCGTTCACCAGCTTTGTGACCTTAGGAATAGATTAAATCTCCCTAGCCCTCCCAATGGTATCCTGAGAATATTATCCACCTGATGGGGTTGATTCAGTGAGCTAATAGGATACAAACATGCTAAGAACATAGTAAATATGGTAGACTTCCTAGCTATTATTATCATCCTATGATGCCTGCTAGCTCCGTGTACAGAGCTGAAGGTTTTTAACAATGTCTTCTATAAATCCGCCCCTTCTGGCCATTTGGAGGAAGAAATGTTCAGAGCTTTTAGGTATTATTATGAATTGTCCCGGATGATCAATAACCTGCATCTTCAAACGGCTAGTGCTTGTCTGGAACATACAAAGTTTGAAGTGCTTTCACAGGAACTCTGATACAACTACAGGAACTAATAGATTCACGCACAAGTGCAGCACTGACCCTGAGGCTCAGGCCCACGGTTAGCAGAAGAATCCAGCTTGGGCTGGAATGGATTTCCCCAGAACTCGCTGCAGCTAAAATGTCTAAAAGGCTCCATGACTCAGTAACAACCCCTGTAACTTCTATGGATGGATACTGCTTACAAATCATTGTCCTTCACGTTGTCATGTGATCCACAGAGGGGCAGGGCCACTCTGTGGTCCATCCTGAGCCTCACTTTCAGCCTCTGGTCCTGGCCGTTGAATCAGAACACTGCCAGAAGACCACACAGATGCTCCAGAACTTTAAAACGTAATCAAAAAGGTAAGTGACGCATACCGGGTAAAGACCCAGTCATTTATCTTCCCAAAGTCAGTTTTTCAGGAGTTATTCTCCCTGTGACGTGAATGACCTGCCTGAGGCCACTCAGCATCCAGGCTCGAGAACTAGGACTTGAAGTTATATCTCTTGACTCCAAGTCCAAGCACAGGGCCTCTGACTTGATGGTCAGCGCTGCAGGGAAGGGATGAGGTCTGGGATGGATTCCAGAGCTGTCCACCTCCTCACCTGCTCCATCCAGTTCCTTGGTGCCAACGGTCATGTGCTGAGACCCCAGGAGCGAGTCTGTCCAAGCTCTGGCTGGGGCCATGCATCATGTGACACTCATGAGTCAAGCCTCCCTTATTTTAGTCATAGTCTCCTCCCCATTACTGCTTAAAGGGTCCGTCCCCCTCCCCTCAAGATAGGGAACAAAAGCGCTTCCAAGGTCCAAAGTGCCTGGAGACAGTGGGGAAGGGATTGTGCCGGGGGATGAAAGGCAAGACATGAGGTCATGTCACTGGGGGCTCTGACCTTAAAAACAAAGGTCAGCCATTGCGCTCTCTTGGAATGGACCCAGGAGCTGTCATGGCCCTGGGCACAGCGGAGGGGAAACTCTTTCACCAACATGGGTGCTGCTAAACAGGTGTACCGTCTGTCTGTCTGTCTCTCTCTCTCTCTCTCAGCATTTTCACACAGTATGAGAGTGAACAGGCAGGAACTAGAAACCCAGGCTCCTGGCCCTTCCCCCCCCCCGCCCCGCCCCAACTCTCCGGGACCTGGAAGCTACACTTTGCCAGCTTGCTTCTCCCCTCTGTGCACCCAGGCCCTGTGCATAGGGAGAGGACACAGCAGGAGAAGAGAGAAGGAGGTCACAGCTGATCTCAGCACACACGGGGGAAACACAGGCAGAGGCAGAAACACTGGAACAGACGCCCCTGGCAGGGCTCAGTCCATGCAGTCCCAATAGTCAGGGCTGCCCAGTTCCCTTCCCACCTGCCTTCCCCCTACCTACAGGGTGGGAGGCTACAGACAGCAGGACTGAACACTGGAGAGAGAGAAAGGGAGTTGTTACAACTGGTGTAAAATGGGAGGGATGAGGCTTTAGGACTGTGGAGGTCTAAAGTACATGCTAGATAGAGAAAAGAACAAAATGAAAAACAAAAGCCAGTGCTGATTAGAAAGCACCAGCCATTTCCCAAAAGGACCAGCAACCTCTTTGTTGGCGAATGCACTTTCATTCATTTTCTGGCTTTAGCTTCAGTATTAGCTTCTCACAGAAAGTGGTCCACTTCACCCAGCATGTTGGTTCATGTCTGTACTCTCAGCTACTAGGGAGGTAGACATTGGGAGGATCATGTTTCTAGGCCAGCCCAGGCAAACAAAACAAAACAAAAAACAAACAAAAAAAAACAAGACCCTATTTTAAAAATACAGCTATAAGGGATGGGGGTATGGCTCCAGGGTAGAGCACCTGCCTAGCCAGCACGAAGGCCCGAGTTCAAGCCCCAGTGCAAAATGAAACAAAAAGTAGTCCATTTCAACAATACACCAAAAAAAATTTTAAGTAAAAGTTCAAAGTTTAGAAAGCCAAAGATTAGAAAAAGCCAAAGATTAGAAAGTCAGTGTCTTCAATTTTAAGAATTTATGTCAATTCTCATCTGTTTCAATATTAGTTAGACTACACAAAAGGACTTTTTTTTAAAGTAGGGCTGGAACTGAAGGACCTTATACTCTCACTCAGCCTCCAGTCTGGCATTTTCCTGGTTAATTAGAGATGGAGTCTCATGGACTTTTCTTCTAAAGTGGGTATGAATCAGTCCTTCAGGTCTCAGCCTGCTGAGCAGCCAGGATGATAGCCTTGAGCCACCTTACCCAGCTCTGAAACGATGCTTGACCTTTTCTAAATGACCCAAAGCCTGAGTTTTTTTTTTTTTCCCAAGTCTCCTCGGTCCCTCTCAGCCTGGACATACCAGGAATGCACAGGCTTTGGGGATGATAGAACATTGGGGGAAACACATTCATACTCACGTTTGTCCCGGAGGAAGCCGAAGGAAATGTGGGATTCGACTGAGCAAAGGTCCTGGCTGGAATGGCTGCATACGACGTCCCAAGAGTCGAGGCGTAATCTGAAGGGTAAGTGACACAGGCCAGGTGAGACACCAGTCCTGAGCTTTTCCTTGAGAGCTCAGGATTAGGATAGGGAAAGAGAGAACGGAAAAATTCTTCCGAACATATTTCTTCGTGATCGACACACTTCTACCTTGTGGCACACTGTAACGGGCAACGTTGTTTGGCTAAGGTGTCTCAGAGGACACTAAGGACAGACAGCAATGCCAAAGAACACGTGGGTACCTTGGGACCATTTTGCCTTAGAAGGGCATGGGAGGGGCAAGGCCATAGAAGGAGCCCTGGGTTGGGGAAACAGGACAGCCTGCGTATCCTGACTCACCTTCATTCCCAGTGGGGCTGTAAAGAGCTGTGCTGTTGGGGGAGGTGCCCAGCGTCCCCTCTGCTGAAGAAGCGAGCACACACCGGATGCCAGCACTGGAGAGGGGGGAGACGTGGGAACCAGGGTCCCAGTAAGTTAAACCAAAAGAATGACTGCAGGATTCAAAAGTTCCACTCCCAAGTACCCAGCCCAAATTAGTTGAAGACAGACATGCACATGACTGCTCATCTCCACACTATTCACTATGGCAAAAGGTGGAGATAACCTCCAAAGCCCATCAAAAGATGAACAGAGAAGCAAAGCGCATTATATAGAAATAGCGGAATAGTATTCAGCCATAAAAAGGTCACACATGCTACGGTGTAGATTAAAAAAAACAAAAAACTCCAAGTAAAGCTTTTAAAAATTTAAGTCATAAACGGCCACGTATTATATGATCCCACTTACATGACAAATTTATAAATAAACAAAAAGCAGATTGGTGGTTCCCAGGGGCTGGGGGAGGGGCATGGCGAGGCTGCTCAGTGAGGATGGGGTCTTCTCTGGAGGTGATTAAGAATGTTCTGGAACTAGGTACTATTTGTACAACCTTATGCCTGTGCGACATGCTACTAATTGTAAACTTTATCAAATGGTTGAAGTGATGAGTGTTACATGAATTTTGCCACAAAAAGGGGAGGGGAAGGGAAGCCTTTGTAATATGCATATATATATATATATATATGCATGTATATATTTAACTGTGGTAAAATACAAATGCCATGAAATTTACCATCTTCACCACAGTATACAGTTCAGTGGCATTAGGTCTACTTTCACTGTGCAGCTATTGCCACTATCTGGCCTCAGAATTCTTCATCTTGCAAGACTGTACCCATTGAACACCGGCCTCATCCAGCCTCCCAACTCCAGACATCCTTATTCTACTTCCTGTCTCTATGAGTTTGACCTTTCGAACTCCATTCCACAGGAATGGAATTATATGCACCTTGTCCTTTTGGGACTGGCTTTATTTCACTTAACATGATGTCCTGGAGGTTCAAGCATGTTGTAGTATGGCTCAGAATTTCCTTCCTTTGGAAGTCTGAGTAGCTGTCTCTTAGGTGTTCTGACCATGTTCTGTTTAGCCATTCGCCTGTTGATGGTCAGTCTGTTGGCGCTTGTGAATAATGAGCGGAGGCCTTTTGAAGGCGCACATTTCAAAACCTGGAGCCCTAGTTTTTTGTCACATCCCTGGGCTAGACCCTCTCTTCTCCAACTCCTCACTGGTCTTGGAGCCTGCCTTTGCCCCCTGTACCAGGGTCTTCTTCAGTAGGACCTGACCAGATGGTTCCTTTGCTCGAGCCGGGAGTGGCTCCAGTCCCACTCCGAGTAACACTGTAAGTCTTTACAACAGAAGAGGGCCCGGGCCCTGGTGCTTCCAGGAGGCCCAGCCCCAGAGTGCATTCATTCACACACAGACTTCCTACCCTCATCCAGGGTGGCTTTCTGCTTAACATTTGCCACCAGAAATGCCGTCTAGTTTTCTCATTGTGTGTGTGGTCTGTCACCCGCGTTGAGTGCAAGCTCGGGGACTCTGCCTGTGTGGTTCTGTGCAACACACATGGGTCACAAGGCAGCAGCTCTGGGGAAGCTGACTGTGCGCAGGCGTGGGCCTGTGCTCCTGGACAGCACTTACTTTTCAGAGAAGAGCAGGCATTTCTGAGTGTGCAGCTTCCCTTTCACATGCAGCTCCCAGTCCTAGGTCAGAAGGACAGAAAAGGAACCAAAGGAGAATGGAGTCCTTGGCGAGGCAGAGGATGAGGGCAGGGAGCACAGGGCACCAAGGCCTGTTCCCCCCTCTCCCCCCGCCACACACACCGCACCCAGCATTCCCCCTTTCCCTCTCCCTCCTCCACCTCCCATCCCCCCACTCACTCCACCCATCCATCACCTGCACATCCTGTATGTCTTTGACAGCTGCCCAGACTTCAAAGTCCTTCTTCCCCCGTGAGGGGACCTCTGAGTCCAATTCCAACCTCCTGTCTCCCACCCTCTTCTCCATGCCTACCTACTTCTGTATCGAGTTCAGGTTCTGGATGGAGGACTCAAATGATTGTAAAACCTTATCAAAGGCTGGTGACAGACCTAGTTCCAGCCAGGCCGCACGGTGGGGGTTCAGGTGTGGTGGTGTTACCCACTATGGGGGCTACAGAGATGCTCCTGAACCAAGCACACCCATGGTATGACTCCCCTGAAGAAGAGGTTTTACTATGACTCTGGAACCAAATACGAGGGAAGGCAGGGCGTCTCTCATAAGAGGATCAGAACCATGTTCTAATCTCTCCCCTGTCACTTTCTAGCCAGGTGGCCCAGGCCAACTCAGTGTATGCGGCTGGGCCTTCATTTTCTCACCTTTTAAGTGAGGTTAGTAACAGTTTCTTCCTCCCAGAAGTACTGTGAGTTACTGTTAGCTGTTAAAAGGATAATTGCCCTGGAGTATTTCAGTGGTCACCCATACATTTCCAGGGGGACGTTATGCTCTGTTGGACTTGTGTTTGTAGTTGTGGGAAGCACTTTACAGACTTTGGGTAAAGGTGAGGTACCGTGAGGCCAGGCCTCCAAACTTCAGACCATGCAGCTGAAGCTTCTAGAATAATCTGTGTAGATCCCATGTCCTGGCCCTGACCCATGATCTCATGTCCTTCCCTCCCCGCATTTAAACTCAGTGTAACATACATGTTGGGAGGAACAGTAGCTCCTAGGGCTACAGCACAGGCAAAGCCTTCCCCAGGAGAGAGGAGACACGCTCCTGAGCCCCCTTCTCTGCCGATGAACCCCAATGCATTTCTCCAATGTAATACCTTTCACTGGGCTTGAATCCTTAGGATGGAAATCAGAGACTCCAATGGCAGAGCTCTGCTCGCCGCCCCGCCCCCCACGTGTCAAGCACACAAGCAGTGAGAGTTGTTGGAGGGGGAGGCAAACTCAGCTCCGGGGCCGGTCTGGGATGACTCACCGTCAAGTCGAACACCTTCTTGTCGCAGAGGCTGCAGAGGTGCGGCAGGTGGGGCGGGGCCACGCCGTGGAAGTCGTTCAGCTCTTGAGCCTGCAGGGGCCCCACGGCGGGCAGCAGGGCCTGCTCCTCCTTGGCCCTCCGCCGGCCACCGCTGAAGCCTTGCTTGCTGTGGTTAAGCCGACCCCCGAAGGAGGGAGGGGTCCTGTCTGAAGTGGGCTCCTCGGGGTCATACAGTTCATAGGGCTGGCTGGAGGCTGGAGGCCACAGGTTGGGACCTGCTGTGAGATCGGGCTTGTTGGGACCAGGGAAGCCGGGGGTGCTCTCCCACTGGCTGTTTGCACCCCGTAGCAGCGCTCCTACCTCACCTTTCATGCCCGGGGGCTGCTCCCCTGGGAACCCACCTGCTAGGGGGGGCGCTTGGGCATTGGGTCCATAGAAGTCTTTGGAGAAGGCGGCTTGGCCATCTTGTCCAGGGTGGCTGTAGGGCCCTTCGTAGGCCACGCTGCCCGCGGCAGAGGCCGAGGCCGGCAGGAAGCCGGGCTGGCTGTCTGTCTCTGAGCCGTAAGCCTGGCTGGCGTTGGCTTTGCCATACTCATAGAACGCTGAGGGGGGCGGGGCGGGCCCGGCCTTGCCCATGCCCAGGATGACTGCCGGCTGGGCAGGGGTCTGAGGCATCACCCCGCTGAAAGGATGGACCACCACGGCGTTGGGGGGCTGGCTGGGGAGGCTCACAGAGGGTCCTGGGCCTCGTGGCTGGCTGGGAGGCGAAAAGGCGATTGCACTGGAGGGAAACCGAGCGCTGGGGATGGTGGCAGCATGTTGGGGCACCCCGGCGTGGCTGTGGGGGCCGCTGAGCACAGACGGATGCCTCAGCTGGTTGAAGAGAGGCTGGGACATGGCCACTTTGGAGAGGACCTGGTTCAGGACGGTGGCGGCCGCAGTGTTGTTGGTGACCGCCGTCTGGGCCAACTTCAGCCGGTGGAGGGTGAGCTGGGCCTGCAGTTGGGCCAGCTGGAGGCTGGCAGGCGAAGGGAGCAGGGGGTTCGGGTTACTGACGGAGAAGGGGTTCTTGTCCAGGAGCTTGGCGGCACTGCAGGAAGACAAGAGGCCTAGATGCACCGCTGGTTTTCACTGCGGGGGGGGGGGGGGGGTTGAGGGGGGGTGAGGGATTGCTTTCCTTTACCTGTGGCCCTCTCTCCTATACAAGACCCTCCTACATGAGCTCTGCATCCAAGTGACTCACTCTGTAAACAGCTGTGTGCCTATATATTTTTTTAAATCCAAAATTCTAGTAGAAAAATTATATGACAGGAAGTTCAGGGGCTGGCCCTGATAATTAGGAATAAAAATTAAAGCCATTACAAATAAGCATTTGCTTAGCAAAGTGGCCAATGTTAAAAACTAATAATGGCACTCCATGTTGGAGAACTCAAGTGGAAAAGACACACTGACAAGTGGCAGCCAGTGTTCTGATAGGCAGTCGAGCAACAAGCATTCATTGCAGCCAAGACTCTTGGACTCAAAAATTCAATTCTGCAAATCTATATTAAGCCAAAGTGCAATACCTAAAGACATTTAACACTACATTATCTAGGAGTCCAAAGATGAAAATATCCAAGAATGGGGAGCCAGGCTTGCTCTGAAGATTTATCATCTAAACAGATATCATCAAGTAACTGTTTACTATGGGTGCTTAAATTTTTGCTTCATTATACAATTTATTGTTCACAAAAAGTGTACTTAGCATGAAATCTAAGACCAAAAGAATCCCATCATAACAAAAATCTCCCCCTGGCTCTCTGCTCTTGCCACCTGACTCCAAGTCCTGGTTATAAAAGCAACCCCCCTCCCCCCAAAAAAAACACCAGAAAACAAAAAGTGAGCTATTTTAACAACATGAAATAATCCATCTGCTTCAAAGTTAAGCTTTACAAAAAAAGCAGGCTTCAAAACCCCACACTGAATGAATTGTATGTATATTTATGCCAAACACATTTTTGTCCTTGTCCTCATTTTACATCAAGAATAAAAAGCCTGCACAGACAAGCCATGTAAGGGATAACTCGAACAATTACAAATGAAAAAAAAATATCTAAAACTGGTCAGCTCTCATGGAATTTTATGGGCCTGTCATATGACTTGGGCTGGTTGGTTATGGTGCTTTCTCAACCAAATGAGAACACCTGGTCTGGAAAGTGGGACAGACTTTCCCAGAGAGTAGAGAATATGTAGTTACCAGTTGAGGCCTTTGGGTAAGACCCTATTTTCTGGGTCTTAAGTTCCCCTTGGGAGAAGTGGGTATAATCAGGAAATGTGTGTGGGACATTGAAGAGCTACACTTATCGGGTATTTGAATGGGAGATTGGAACTGTGAAACTGGAAATGAGAAGTGCCATGCACCCTCAGTCTGCACCACCAGGGGGTGGGGTGGGGGAACGTAAGGAGGAAAACACAGCTGGGACACTTTGCTTTCCGCTGTCACAAGCACTGAACAGTAAAAGGTCAACAAGAATGAAGTGAATGAGAGCCTGGAGGCAAGCTTGAGTGAGGAGGAGAGAAAGAAATGGGGAAAGTGCACGACCACGTGTCACATACTTGTCCTGTCCCACTTTGGAGCTGCTTCGGGGGAAAGACTGCTTCAGCTCAGGTGCGCAGCAGGGGAGGGGTGGCAGAGAGGCTAGGAAGGGGAGCAGATCGACTGCTCACATTTGCTGCAAAGCGTCTGTGGGACAAGTGCTTGCTTAACCTGTGTTATCTCACTTGGTCTCCAGTGGCCTCCCGGGTGCAGTCATTTTCACCAGGACAGGAACCTCAGAGAGGTGTAGGTGACCTGCTTAATGGAAGTTTATTGTTGGTGAGCACAGGGGATCCCAACACCAGCCAGGCTTTGAAAAGAGAAGCAGCCTGGGCCGATGAAAGCAGGCAGCTTCTGGGCCCTTTTGAGTACATCCTCCTGGATTGCACGCCAGCACACCCACTTGCGGACATATAAGAATGACTTTCTCAAAGGCGCAAGGCCTATGTGCCTCTGATCATATAAAACCACGTTTATCAAAATGAACCCCAGGAAATGGAAATAAGAGGTCTTTTCTTTGTTGTTGTTTTCTTTTTGTCTTGTTTGTCTTTGGGAGGGGCACAGAAATGGAGGGGCAAAGATGAACAAATGGTACTCACTAGACACTATGTGGAAAATGAACTCTACAACTTATGGGTGGGGATGGGAAGGAAAAACTGGGAGAGACATGAACTAAAAGCAATGTCCTCATTACTTGACTTATATACATCAGCTTTATAATAACAATAATTTTTTTTGGGGGGTCCAGTCGTGGGGCCTGAACTTTGGGCCTGGGCGCTGTCCCTCAGCTCTTCAGCTTAAGGCTAGCACTCTACCACTTGAGCCACAGCACCACTTCTGGCTTTTTTTCTTCTTTTTGCTTATGTGGTGCTGAGGAATCGAACTCAGAGCCTCAGGCATGCAAGGCAAGCACTCTACCACTGAGCCACCTTCCCAGCCCCAAATAAAAAGAATGACTTCCTTACTCTTTCCCATTTGTGTGAGAAATCAAGAACTTTGTAGGAGTCACTCAAGGGACAGCCAACAAGCTGAACTTCCAGAACAGAGTAAGCTGGCTGAATGGTAAGGTACTGAGAAAGGAGAGGACCGCGGGCTAAAGATATGACAGGCATTGCTTCCTCTGGAGGACTGTGATTATAGCTAAGGCTTGGGGACCCTAGTGTGGCTGTAGGCCTGCAGAGGGAGGAGGAGGCACTGACTACACAAGCAAGAATACAAAAGGAAGGGGAGGATGGTCCCATTCGCTGATAGAGTTCAACTTGGGTAGTATTAAGTAGCTGAGCTTTAGAAGGGCAATTAAGCTTAACTCAAAACCCTGCCCACACAGGGCCAACCCTTCCACCAGGTTTGTTCGCTGAGCAGACTGTCCTTACTAACAAGGCGATAATGAGGTGCCAATTTGGTGTCCATGACCAGAGTAAGACAAAGTCAGTTTTGTTTTCCCCAGAGAAGTCAGCTGTATTTTCTCAACTTGCCCTCTGGGCAGGAGGTTCTCTGGCTGGAGGTTCCCCTTCAGCTTTCGAAGCCCACACAAGGACGAGGCATCTTTCTAGCCAGGAAAAGCCAACCATGCTGGGTGTTTGTAGATCAGTCATGGAAAACAAACGCTTTACAGGGTATGGCCAGGCTATAGAGGTTTTATTTATTCAGAGCCAGCATGACATAAGATGAATACCCAGATTTTCTTCCTGACATCCATTTTGCTGAGCAAATTCTTCTTGCCCCTCAACTTGATTCAAGCCTATGTAGAAGTCATTTCACATGAATCATCAAAGTTGAATAGCTCCTGTGAACCAGAATAAGGAGGAGGAAAAGGCCCACTCGCTTATTAAAGAAACAACAACGAAAAAACAGATTCTCAAATTCTTAGCCTTCAAGAGTTAATTCAGATGGAGATAGTGATCACATAGTACATCATCAGGGGCGATTTTCCTGTTTTGTTAGAAGTGAGTTCCCACACACCAAGCACACCCACACTCAAATCCAAGAACAAAACACATTTCAGAGCCAAATAAAAATGACTTTGCTACTCTTCCCGTTTGCATGAAAAGTCAAGCTCCACAAAAGTAGGGAGGCAGCGTGTCTTAGAGAGATTGTGTTTTTTCCACCAGCCTGCTTCTCACTTAAGGAGTACTTGAGGGACACTCAGCTGTCATGAACAGAAAAGAAAGAAGTTAATGGCTTATCAGAATCCAGTGGCAGTGAAGTATGGACATCTCTTTCATGGATACACATTTCCATGGATAAGGTCCTTTGAACAATTCTAAAAAGAGACTCAAAATATGCCCAGAGAGCAAAAATATAGGTTTTGCTGTTGTATAGCTAAACATATAGAATAATTACCTAGCTAGGGTACCATCTATAATGCCCCATTCCAGTAGAGGAATTTCAATTTCTTTCTTTTCTTTTTTTCTCTTGTCAGTCATGGGGCTTGAACTCTGGGCCTGGGCGCTGTCCCTGCACTCCTCAGCTCAAGGAGAGCCCTCTACCACTTGCACCACAGCACCCCTTCTGGTTTTCTGGTGGTTTATTGGAGATAAGAGTCTCACAGACTTTCCTGCCTGGGCTGGCTTTGAACCATGATCTTCAAATCTCAGCCTCCTGGCTAGGAGTTTCAATTTCTTCTTCCTCTAGGTCTAGGCTTTAGAACTGAATAGATAATTGATCCACCAAAGGTGTCTAGGTATTCTCATCTGCAGTCTGTGTTAACCTGGCAAGGAGGACTTTTCAGATGTGAGGACTTTTCAGATCTTGAGCTGCGAGGTTATCTACAATATATGTAATCAGGTAGTCCCTATGTAATCATACCCATAGAAAGAAGATGTAGGGATGGAAGTAGACTCTGGAGATGCTAGCTTGAAGACAGAGGAAGGGGGCAGTGCATCCAATGGCATTGTAGGTAGCCTCTAGAAACTGATACAGCAAGAAACTGATCCCCCCACCCCCAGAGCTGTTAGAAAAACCACACTGTGGAAACCTTCACTTTAGTCAAGTCAGACTGGTTTGGGGCTTATGGAACTATAAAGGAATAAATTTGTGTTGACACAAGATACCCAACTTGTCGTGCTTTGTTACAGCAGCAACAGGAAATAAATAGACTCCTCAGGGACCTTAGATGCAAAAGTTGCTTCTATTCAGAGAGGCAGTAATGAGAATGGGGCCTGGCTGGGTTTTGTGGTATGAACTGATCAGCCTCCAAGAGCTCTAGGGAGCACAGACCACCTGAAAAGCCCCCCCATGGAGGAGTTTAGAATGGCAGACTCCTGACAAATCAACTCATCCAACAGAGAGAAAATGATTCCTCCCAAGCCACAAAGCAGGGTGGTAGCAAAAGGAGGATCCATACCATCCAATCCAACTTCCAGTGCCTGAGAAAACCACCTTGCCCCTGACAAGCACATCTCTCTCACCACTAAATGATCACGTCCACTCATATGGATTTGTGGTTCACCTCTCCATTCAGAGAGGTGGTAAATGTGTTCAATGTGCAAGGCACTCATTGAACCCTAGGGAAACACTAAGGTGATGTTTCTTTCTAGAATCCCCTAAGCTGTAGAGGTGGTAACAGAAGAGATGCCCCTTGTTTAGGGAGGGGACAGGGGCAGGATCCTCTCCACCTCTCTTCTCCTAAACCACATGCAATATGCTGTTTACAGTCATGGAGTCAGAGCCGGGTTGGGGGGAGAAGGAAGAATAACGCAGTGTGTCACAGCTGGGAACCCCGCACAGAGAGAGAATATGGATCACACAGCCAATCTGAGGGTCCATCCAGGCTCACAGAAGGAACACCACACCCTGCGGGTGCTCTGATCGACACATCCAGGGAGCTGGAAGGCTCTCTGCCTCAGGACTAACGTCTCAGCTCTGAGGCATTGATTGTTACAAACAGTTCAGAGTATCATTCAATTACAAGCTGATTCTCCACTTGCTTCGTAAGTTTCCTTAACAAATTAAGGCAGTATTTAATCTCAGGAGTCTTGAAAACCTAAACTACAACTGGAAAGCGAACTTGTTATCTTCATAATGTTGGGAGATTGAAGGGCCACAGTTGAAAACATGTGTCTAACGGTCGCGTTCCATTGTGTGGAGAGGGTCAGGAAGCTATTGTTCCCACCGGGAGAGCATGGCAGCTGCCCCAGTTTGATAGTGCTCGTGGCTATTCATGTGCTTCAAGTGGGATGCAGTGATTCATGGGTAGTCGGCCATAAGGAGTGGGGCAAAGTGGCTTTCGTTCACTTGGGGATGCTAGAAATGCAAAAATCATCCTGTCCCTAAAGGAAAGGGGTCTGTAGGGACCCCATCTCTGCTACAGAGACATTCCACACAGACATCGGGGTGGGGGGGCGCCAAATGGGTGCTCAGGAATTTGTCTGTTCCACCCACATGGATGGAGCATCTGTCATAAGCTGTGGAAACTCCAGGTGATAGGGACACCAGGATGGAAGGGGGGGGAGAGATTACGTGAGCCCACCATGCTGTGTTCTGACCCCGGAGCTCACAGCAGTGGGGCACAGGAGGAAGAGGTCACACTGCAGGAGAGTTCAAGAAATGTGACAAATGACAAGAAAGACCACTCACGGGGTTTCCCCCATCCTCTGGGCTTCTTAACCCAGCAGCAAATGGGCAAACGACTCAGCAGTGGGTGGCAGGTAGAGGATGAGCTGCTCTTACTGGATGTGTGTGAGGCAGAGTGGGAAAGCTGCCTAAAGTTCCCACAGAATTTTTATCTGTAAAATGAAAATGGGAGCTGAGCACGGGGGCTCATGCCTGTAAACCTAGAGACTCAGGAGATCCTCAGCTCTCAGCAGCCAGGGGAGGAAAGTTCCGTGAGATTCTTATCTCCAATTAACCACCCCCCCCTAAACAAAAGCCAGAAGTGGAGGTGTAGTTCCAGTGGTAGAGTGCCAGTCTTGGATGAAGCCAGCGAAAGGACAGAGTCCAGGCCTGAGTTCAAGCACCAGTCCTGGCACACATGTGTGCCCATGCACGTGCACTCCCATGCAGGGAAATAACAAACATCCAGGCAATGCGTCTCAGGCCCGGTCACAGTGATTGGATGAACGCTCCTTGGCATTCTGTTGGGGCTATCAGGACAGATATTCTGGGGCTATCATGTCCAGATGCTAAACAAGTTGTTAAAGTCACTACCTACCAAGAGGCTGCTTGAGAATAAAGCCAGCCGGAAGACACTGGCTTGGAGACAGACTCAGGCTGCTCCTGAGCATCTTGTGAGAGTACCCTGTGCCAGCTTCCCCTCTTCTGCACACAAACTAGTGTGTCTCCTTTATTCGCTTAGCAAAAAATAATAATGCTAAAAGAAGGCTGACCCACTTAAGCCATCTGCTTCTAACTCCCACAGCTCCTCAGTTCCCTGGTCTCCCCCCACCCCCATCCCCTCTGAAGCCTGAACACACTACAAGCACTGATTGTCAGCACTACTAAGGGGTCACTGCAGAAGAAAACTGTACCTGCCCACCTGTTTCCTGTGCTCCTCCACCCACAAGGACACAAGGCCAGGGTGCACATGGGCATGGACACAGGGTGTGGACTGGGGCAACTGTTTGCTGGTTCTGGGATCCAGCTCTGGCCAAGCTGGTGTTCCTGTGAGCAGGAGAATTGGCATTTCGGCCTTTATAGGATGCTATTTCTATCCAACTGCACCACCTGGACACTTGATGGTCCACTGATTTTCCTCTTTAGGAGAAAGAGATCTTGATTGAAACTGCAAAGGTTCCTTTGCCTTCTCAGCAGGGGAAGGAGAAGGACGGAGAGTAAGCGATGCCCATGGGCTGTGCGCTGCCCTGAAGGAATTCAGGGGGGGAATCAGGCTCCCTGGGTTGTGGGCTCAACCTGCTGCTGGTCCACTGTGTGACAGCGGATAAGAGACTTTGCCTCTCTGGGCATCCATTTCTAAAAAGAAGTCACTACCTTCTCAGTTAGAGTATGAGTGTCACAGAAGAGCTGTCAAAATGCGCTGTAAACTACAAAGGTGCATTTGGCACAACGTTGTTGAAAAGAGGACATTTTCTGTGAGATCTGAACAAACACTCCCCTTTTAGAAAAAAGCCCTCTCCACACAAAGTGGCTTTGGGAGTTAATCTCTTTGCCATGGAGATTCAGGGTAGAATGTACAATGCATGTGCAGCAGCTCAGTCATGACAGCCAAGCACCCATCACAGTGATGTGATCGATGTGATGACGATCGATCATGTGCTGTGCTCCATAGATGGAGACTGTCCAGAGGCAGGGCTCTGGCTTCAGAGTTAGTACCAGTTTGGCCACTTATAAGCCAATGGCTGTGGGCCAATCCTCATCTTCTCTAGGCCTCAGGGTCCTCAGGAAGAAAGGTAGGGCAGCTGGTTCTAAGGTCTAGACTTATCCCAAGACTTGCGAGAGTGCATAATTATTCAGCCCAGTTCCAAGCACACAGGAAGCAGCCGCTGCTACTATTACTGTTACCATGGGCATGATCATCGCCATTACATCACCCACATCACTGTCATCCACAGTGTGGGCTGCGGGGAGCTCTGCCAAGGCAGAAGCAGCTTCCTTAGAGATAGAGATAGATGATGACAGAAAACACAGAAATGTTAATAGGGAGAGAGAAGGAACAGAAGGTGAAAGGTGGACAATTACTGAGGGGAGGAAGCAGGCGTAGAGTGGGGCTTTAGGAGAGCAGATAGAGTGACAGTAGCTCCTGAGTGAATCATTTGAGTCAATACAGACTGAACAGTAAGCATGAAGGTCCACAGAATGAACGTGTGCAACTCAGCCACGGGCTCTTCCCTGGCAATCTTCAATCACTCCAAAGCAGAAGCCAAAAACCAGAGCCTAGAGCACCATAGTACCTGACCCTACCTAACCCAACCCAACTGAACATATTCACAATAGGCATAATGGCTTCCAAGATGACCAACTCAGGAATTTAAACCCACTCCCAGTTCAAGTCAGTTCACTTTCCAGGCTGAGTCATGAGTGTGCCATTTCTTCTTTTGTGCTAAGAAATAAAATGCAACCCAGGCAACAGGTCTCATGACCAGGCAGGTAAATGTTCTCCAGGTTGGGTTGTGCCTGCAGATAATGTGGCCAAATCAAATAGTGTGCAAAGCTCAGGGCCAGGTCTTTGCAGGGCCTGCTCAGGGAGCTAAATGATATCTAGATCATAAGGTCTCAACTCAATGTCATTTAGCAGCACATCTACAAACATTGGAATGATACTGAGTTTAGCAGGGCCCCTGTGCAAAGAAGACATACTGATTCTTGAAGTATTTCATATTATTTTTGTAGCAATGGGGAGATAATAGTTTACATTTTTTCTATAATGGGGCTTGAACTCAGGACCTTGTGCTATTGCTTGGCTTTTTCACTCAAAGCTGTTACTCTACCACTTGAGTCACACTTTGATTTCTAGCTTTTTCCTAGTTAATTTGAGATAAGAGGCTCTAAGTTTCATCTGCCCAGGCTGGCTTTGAAGCTTAATCCTTGGATCTCAGCCTCTTGAGTAGCTAAGATGACAAGCATGAGCCACTGACACCCAGTCACAATCTATTATTGAGACTCCACCTTACACCAGTTAGAATGTCCATAATCAAGAAATTTAACAACAGATGCTGGCTGGGATGTGACCAAAGGGGAACGCTACTACACTGTTGGTAGGAGTACAAACTTGTTCAACCACTCTGGAAAGCAGTGTGGAGGTTCCTCAAAAGACTCCACATAGAGCTCCCCTATGACTCAGCAATCCCACTTCTGGGAATCTACCCAAATGACCACAAACAAGGCTACACTAAAGCCACCAGTACGACCATGTTCATCGCAGCATTATTTGCCATAGCCAAGATATAGAACCAACCCAAATGTTCCTCAGTAGATGAATGGATCAAGAAAATCTTGTACAAATACACAATGTAATTCTATGCTTCCATCAGAAAAAATAATATGGTTCCATTCATAAGGAAGTGGAAAAACTTGGAAACAGTTATATTAACTGAAGTAAGCCAGACCCAAAGAAAAGCAAGTCACATGATCTCCCTCATTTGTAAGAAGTGGAATATGTATATGATATTCTTTTTTTAATACATATTTTATTGTAAAGATACTGTACAGAGGGGCTACAGTTACATAAATAAGGTAATGAGTACATTTCTTTTTTTGGAGGGGGGGGTGGGGCCTGAACTCTGGGCCTGGGCGCTGTCCTTCAGCTCTTCAGCTCACTGCTAGTGCTCTACCACTTGAGCCATAGTGCCACTTCCGGCTTTTTTCTTTTTGCTTATGTAGTGCTGAGGAATCGAACCCAGGGCCTCATGCATGCAAGACAAGCGCTATACCACTGAGCCACTTTCCCAGCCCTTTTTCTTTTTTGCTTATGTGGTGCTGAGGAATCGAACCCAGGGCCTCAGGCATGCAAGGAAAGTGCTCTACCACTGAGCCACCTTCCCAGCCCTATATGATATTCTTAACAAGGGATCTCAACAACCCAAGTGCTTAGTGCAAGGGACTATATATAATAAAGTATATTAACGTGGTCCGACTTATGGAAACAATAGGTTCTCATTAGACCCTGTATATAGTTTGTTTTTTCTCTAAAAAACAAAACAAAAGAACTAGAAGAAAGAGGCTTGAAGGCTACAAATACAAGATGATAGAAATAATTACCACAATTTGATCACTATACATTGTGCATATATACTGGACTCTTACACTGTACTTCAACAATACAAACAATTATGTGTCTTAGATAAAGGGGAAAAAAAACTCGTCTCAACTGTACCATAATGCTCTCAGAAGCTGGGTCAGGACACAAACCCTAGGGAGCAGTTCTTCGCCCAGGTTACAAAGATGCCAATGATGACCGAACTGCCATGTAGAGGCCGAAGTTCAAACCCTAGCTGGTTACCACAGATTTTAAGAACAAGAAGGAGTCATAGATCATCCGACCCAATCATTTTACAGAAGGAAAAAAGAGAGAGCCAGGGAAGCTGATGGAAAAGGTAGATCAACCCACACCTGGGCGGAGGAGACCTGAGCCTGGATCCTAGGCCTCCTCAGTCCCCAGGGCTGACGCAGTCAGTGCTGTGGAACATCCCACCAACACGCACCAGGGTGCTACTCTCCTTGGAGGGCAGAAAGGGGTACGGCTCTTTCCGGGTGACAGCCGTGCCACTGGATCACTGCTGGCTGGTCCTCTGTGACTAATTTCGAGATGACTGGGTCAATGCCGCTAACCCGTGTTGGGCCTCCGCCATGACATTATCATAGGATGATTCATATTGCTGTGACAGCTCTTGAAATGATTCATTATGACAATGATAATCCTGCCGTCTCTCTTTTGTTTCGTGTTTCTTGGTGGGTTATTAAGTGTTTTTACCTTATTACCTGGCTACCTGGTCTCCATACTGACAACATGGGGAGTGAAGTCAAATATGACCACTTCCAGTTTCTAGCACCAAGACTGAAACAGAGACCAATGGGAGGAGTAACCCGAATAAAGGCCTTCATGAAGAAGGTCTTTTAACTGTGGGGCCAATATTCTTGCCCCTGGTTATACAGTTGCTTAAAGGAGCTTCACAAACCAAATTCCTGGCCTTGCTTCCCATAGATAGGAGTGTGGTATCACATCTGCAGCTCTGGGTGCTTGGTACGCTGTACCACACCTACCAGGCAGGGTTTGATTATTGAGACCAAAAGAGACAGCGGGACAGCTAGTGGTTTTATAACTGACAAGCGGCAACCTGCCTTTCCTGCTAGAGCTGTTAGAAGGGCGCTGAATGTGCAAAAGAGAACCAGTAATGCTGCAAATGCAGAGATAGCCTATATCCCACGAGTGCCACAGTCTCTGAGTTCAACACCTTGTAACACCAAATAGACCAACAGACAAAGCTTTTTGTTTTTTTAAGGGCTGGAGGTATGGCTCAGGTAGAAGAGTGCTTGCCCACAATATTGAGACTAAAAGCACCAACTTCTACATCTAGAGCAAAGACCCTACACTCCTTTTCTTTCTTTGACCTTTCTTCTTTCCTTTTCCTTATTTTTTTTTCAATGCTTAGGATAGAACCCAGGGCCTCATACATGGTAGGTAGGCACTCTACTACCTGAACCACACCCTCAACCCTTAAAAAATCTCTCTCCCTCTCCCTCTCCCCCACACTTCTGTTACGAGGCCTTGAACACAGAGACTTGCACTTGCCAGCTCAAGCATTCCACCACGAAAGCCACTCCTCTAGCTCCTTTATTTTGTTAGTGAGAGAGAATCTCACTAACTTTGCACAAGTTGGCCTCAAACTCATGATCCTCCTGCTTCTGCCTCCTGAGTAGCTAGGACTACAGGTGTGTGCCACTATCCATTTTTCTTTAAAAAAAGAAAACCCTTTATTTTATAAAATGATGGTTCTAGAGGTTTAACTTTTTCCTTTTCCCATATTGTATTTCTTTTTTAAATAAGTTTTTTATTGTGAAAATACTGTACAGAGAGGTTACAGTTACATGAGCAAGGTAATGAGTACATTTCTTATCAAGCATTGTTGCCTCCTCCTTTGTTTTTCCCCTCCCCTCCCTTCCTTCCCATCTCCACAATTACACTCCCCACCCCCACCTAAATTGTAAAGTTAGTTTTTCGACATAACA